TGAAATGCTGATTGCACTGTTTTCCTTTGCAGCAAGGTTTAGGTAAGCGCACTTTGAGGTAATGGCGCTTACGGTTGCTGAACATTCTTGTGCCATGCGTGCAGGTGACACACAAACACGTCAAAACACGCACACTAAGTGAGGTGGCTGACTGCCGGCTGACTGAATGCGTCAGACCTTGTTGTAAATTTGCTCGTTTGCGCACACCCGTCAGATGAGTGGTGATTAGACGGTTCAATGTGGCGGGCGATGTTGCTGCGCTGGTCGCCGGCACATTGATTGACAAGGTCACAAAGAGCGGCGATTGGCTTGGGGTAATCGCTCAATTCCAATGAATACTCGACAAGAAGCAACGTACTAAGAAATGCGGAGTAGTTGCAGCAAATAGTATAAGGGAAGAACGATTTTAACTGACTTGATCGCCTCAAGGTAGGTGTTTCGAACGAGTGTAAAAAAAATCTACTAGGTACTTGAAACTGGTTTATTGCAGTGCTGAGTTTCAGCAACAAAATCCGTCACAAACGCAGACGTGGATCAGAGGTTGAAACAATACGAATCATCCGGAAGATAGGTAGGCACCTTGTAGAGCTGATAAGTCCGAGTCGAATGAATGTAAGCTTAACGGTGTGCACCAAATTGGTGAGGAATAATTTGCAAAAACTCAAGTACGTCGATTCGGATCGGCCGTACACGGGTGGTCGATCGGCCGTGTCGATATGATCTGGAAATAGCCCAGACATGAATCCAATAGAGAACTTACGGGCAATACCAAGGTAAAAGATGAAGAAAAAATTACTACAAACAAGCAACAGCTTATTGAAGAAATTATAGCGACCTGAACACGCAATAAGAGCATGAGTGAAGGTTGCAAAAACTCCTCCACTTCGTGCCTTGAGTGCTAATTCCTTGAAAAAACTGCCAAAGGATCACTTAAAAAATACTAATCCTGATGATTTTCTAATCAGTATGTTTTTCCTAGAAAATATAATTAGGTCACAGTAACAGCATATGATTTTTACAAATCTGTGAAGAAGAGAATTGTGAAGGATCCAAATTCAGCTAAAAAACAAAGTCTCAAAAGCATGATCATAATCAGCTTGTGGACATACAGTCTCGTCTGCTGGAAGTGGAACAGTGTAGAGCCGAACTCAGTTACCGGTAGCGGCCATTATCAGTAAGACGAACCACGGATATGAGTATATAGAAATGAAACGTTGCCGAACCCAACGTGTATCGTACGAGCTACACATAACTGATAGTCAATTAGAAAAACACGAAGCAATTGACCGCGTTACTCACAGAAAATGAAGTGAACCAGACGTGCAGTCACTAAAACAAATGGACGATCGGAAGATACAAACAAGAATAAAAGCCAACGTTACAAAATACTGAAAGCGTAAATGTTTCACATTCACTACAAGGGTCTCCACTTAATAGGCTGACGGGGGGAAGTCTTCGGTAAATGTCAGGTGGGGGACGATGTGAACAATAGGGAGTCTAGTACGGATAGAAGGAGCATGCATGTAGTAAGGCAGTTCGTGGCGTTCGCTGGTTTCGGTCTTCTTCCCTACTTATTATTTGAGTGTGGACTGGAGTCCATCATCAGTGTGCCGTCGGGGTGGGCTGGTCGGACTGCAAAATGCTGGTTAGTACAGAAAAAGGGCCGAGAGGATATTTCCTCTGCTGTGGCCTGACGGGGCACTTAGGCGGTGTCACTCCCGCCACCGCACACGAAGTCCGCGACCGTAACGATCCTCGTCCCACGAAGAATCACGGAAGTCGCCTTTTGGGAATCATTTCTCAGGAATCGCGGACCAGATCAGTCGTTGTCCCACCGGTAATGGGGAGGTGCGGTCGCTTGGAGCCAGGAATATGGGGCTGGAGGCTTTGCGTAGACAGGCCAAGAGGTTCCGCGGCATGTCAGGGGACTTGAGTTCTGGAATATAAAACTCGAGGAGAGTGGGACGTGGTCGGGATAGGTGGCATGATGCCATATGGGTAAGGAGGTACGTCTATGAGACAAAATGTGTATAGTTTACTGCTTTGTATACAAGTGGGTTTTAAGTATGTTATTTGTCATTTTGCTTACTATAAAAGGTGCGAAATACGCATGTCAAAGAATATAGCAAACCTTAACAAAAGCTGAAAAGCGGACTGAACGTTTGCTCTGTCTACCGCGTCGGTCAATTGCCTGGGGTTGGGACTGGATTGGCGAAGAGTCAAGAGTAACAGTTGGGTCTAGAGTGTCTGGTGAGGAAGATGCAGCTGTTGGTGAGTTTACCATTGCATCTGCACTGGAAAAAATGCCACCTTAAGACAATGCATGGACAGCGTCGTTCCGTGACCATTCTGGTCTAAAGCAAAATGCTTAGGAGTTCGTTGGAGAACTCTGAAGGGCTCGGTGTAAAGAGGCTGAAGAGGGTGACGCACTGCTACTGTAAGGATGAAGAGGTGGATGCAGGTAGAGCATCCACTGCATATTTGTACGTCTCTGGTCTGCCCAAGGGGAGAGGTAGGTCTTAGCGAACGCATGAGTTGAGAAAGCAAGGCTGCGAAGCTTGGCGAGGGCATATACGATGGCGATGGAGGCGAAAGGAATTCTCCTGGCAACAAAATTGTCGTGCTGTAGACCAGCTTTGCTGGTGCACACTGCAGATCAGCTTTGATGCTGTTGCGGATACTTAGAAATACTAACGGAATGATTTCGCGCCAGTCATAGTCAGAAGTGACACAGCCAGATGACTTAAACTGTCGATGAAAGCGTTCGAATAGGCCATTCGCTGTTGGGTGATGTGCCATCGTGTGGATACGGTGGCAGCTTAAGAAGTTACATAAGGTATCGAACTACGAAGATTAGAAAGAAGTTCCACAGTCGGTAGTGATAGTGGATGGGCATCCGTAGTGGCAGATCCAACGGTCCAAGAACGCATGAATGACTGCTTTCGCCTTAAAATCAGATACAGAGATGGTTTCTGGCTATCTAGTGAAACGGTCGACACATGCCAGTATATATACAGATCCGCGAGAGGGAGGTAAGTGTACGTAAGAGAACCGCGATCACGGCACGGCGAATGGTCCAAGAGGACTACGGGTGTGTCGATGTACCTTGGACCGCTGGCGCTGAAGACAAGCACAAGTCCAGTTACGAACGTCTTTGTTTACGCTTAACCAAACGAAACACTCGGTGACCAGTTTTATGGATACCGGGATACCAGGATGAGACAGTGAGTGAAGGAAGTCGAAGACTGTGCGTCTGAAAGAGACGGGCACGACAGGTCTTGAACAATCTGTGGAAGTGTCACAAAGGACAGTTCCGTTAGTAGTTTGGAGAAGAGCGGGTTGCACATGCAGTGAAGTGGACTGCAGGGTGCGTTGGAGGTTTTCGTCGTGGGCCTGAGCTGATGCCATGGCGTCGAGATGGACAGTAGACAAAGAGTGAAGAGTGAGGTTGACGCAAGAGAGAGCGTCGGCAACGGGATTGTCGACACCTGAGACATGACGTATGTCAGCAGTGAACTGCGTGACAAAGTCCAGGTGTCTAGTTTCCCGTGGTGAATATTTGTCAGAAGATAAATTGTAGGCAAACACTGGAGGCTTGTGGTCAGTGAATGCCGTGAAAGCTCGACCTTCTAACGTGTGTCGGAAGTGACGAATAGCGAAGTAGATGGCAAGCAGTTGGTCAATGCTCAATGGCATTTTGCGGATTAAAAACGCCGAAGCTTGACATGTCCCATCGCATGATCGGTTAGGTGTGAGCAAAATAAAGACAAAAATAGCAATGGAAAATAGTGAATAACTGCAAATTGCCAACTTGCCGATTATAGCGTTCCCTTCCGTGTTATGTACTATCCACGCTTGTCGTGTGTGGCTGCTGGGCAAAAATGGAGATGGTTTGGCTTGCTTTTGTTTTCCTGCTGTTTGTATGGGTCATTTGGATTACTTGATATGGTGTAGTGTGGCCAGTGTACTGTCGACATGTGCTTTGAGCACGGCTAATGTGGGGGCTGAAATAATAGCTTCTGAGAGGGTATTCCACGTGTGGCAAACATGCAGTGAGAGGAATTTCTTCGACACTCCAAGTGACTGTATTGTTCTGCCAATTTGAGATAATGATCTATCAGTTGGCTGTTGTGACTCAGCTTAAATAGGTGAGGGCAGGGATGATAAGTGTTGTTTAATATTTGGTAAACCATGGTTAGGTCACCACGCAAACGGCGATAACGTCCACTAAAAATACCAAGCCCTTCGAGGGGCTGTTCGTAGGCCAAGTGGCGTAGCCCCTTGACATTTTTGGAAGCTTCAAGACCGTGAGCTCCCGCTTTAGCCATGGGTGCCGTGCTTGAATTGCATATTCACTTTGAGAGCGAATATAAGCGGAAACTACTTGGCGGAAGAAAGACGGGTCGAATTACCCGAAAGCCCTCCGTAAAAACCCCACGATTTGGATCCACTTCTTCGATGCCTATTTGGACTACTCCGAGCAGCCGAGATCTTCCTGGACCAACACACCGAGATCCTTCTCGAGAGAACCAAGTTTCAGCTCCTGATCTCCTAGCTTATATGTAGAAACCATTTGGTGCCTTTACTGAATCACTTGACATTTAACCACATTGAAGAAAAGGCGATTTTGGACCTACCACCCATAAATCTTGCCAAGATGGATTTGAAGCTGGAAACAATGGAACAATGGAACAATGGTATATGACGGGTAAAAAAAGCATACACTTAACGAGTCCCGCAGGTTGGCAATAGAAATACTAACAAATTGGCAAACCACATAAGTAGTTGAAGTAAGGAGTGTCAGTGAGATAAAAGGTAGAAGTATAACAGTTTTAGGGGGATAAACTGGTACGACGCAAAACTGGCTAAGAAATTGTTATCGTTGGTGATGGTAGCAAATAAAAATGGAGTACTCACCGGTTCGCACAGATTTACGACCGTGAATTTGGGGTATAAATCCAAAGAGGCTGGTCAGCCTAAATATATACAAGCGTTTTCGTTCATAAAACAAAGCGCAGGGCGCTCAGTGCGACGTCCAATCGTTTTTTAAACGTATCTAATGTGGGGGCACAAACTACTGAGTTTGGAAGGGCGTTCCAGGGCCCGCAGACCCGGAGGGAGAAATAGGTTTTCCGACAGTCTAGACGACTGTACTGTTGGCTCAGCTTTAAACTGTTACCGCGAAGGTGAGTATTCGGGCTGAGCTTCAAGAGGTGGCGGCATACGTGACTGGGATCGCTCAATATCTGGTACACTAGTATGAGGTCTCCACGAAGTCGCCGGTACCGTCCGCTGAACACTCCGAGTATCTCCAGTCGTTCCTGGTAAGGAGTGTGGCGCAAGCCCTTGACGGTTTTCCTTGCTCGACGCTGTGGGGTCTCAAGCGCTGCAAGGTCACGTTTTAGCCAGGGTTGCCAGGCCTGGATTGCATATTCGACGTGAGGACGCACGTAGGCATTCAGCATCAAAGAGAAGATGGATGGATCCAAAATTCCGAATGCTCTTCGCAGGAGTCCAACGTGCTGGTTGCCCCTTTTAGAAGCGGAATCTGACTGTTTGGAACACCCGAGGTCTTCCTGTACCAGCACACCCAAGTCGCGTTCCTGAGTGGTGGTCTTCAGATCGTGTGCCCCAAGCTTGTAGACGTGGACTTGTCGATGGCGGATATGAACAACGCGACATTTGTCCACATTAAACGGGAGGGCGTTTCTCACCGACCAATTCCAGGCCTCATTCAAGTCACGCTGTAGGACTTCATGGTCGTCCGATCGTTTTATCGCCCGCCAAACCTTGAGGTCGTCCGCGAAGAGTAAGAATTTCGACGTAATAACTCTTACTAGATCGTTAATGAAAAGCAGGAACAAACGAGGCCCAAGTACCGAACCCTGCGGTACGCCGCATCCCACTCGAATCGGATCGGAAAAGGATGATCGAACTCTAACTACTAACTGCCGTTCAGAGAGAAAGTTACCGATCCATCCTAACAACGGGTCTCCGATACCGTACTGTTGGAGTTTAATGAGCAGGATTCGATGATCCAGGCGATCGAAGGCTTTCGAAAAGTCCAAGAATGCAACATCGACTCCTGTTCCCTCATCGACAGTCTCGGTCCAGTTGTCACGAGCTATCAGCAGATTCGTCGTACATGAACGATGTTGACGAAACCCATGCTGTTCTGGCGCAATTATGCCGTAGTTTTCCAAGTATCCCATTAACGCATCTGCTATCACCGCTTCCATGACTTTGGCGATCACAGGCAGAAGCGTTACGGGGCGGTAATTGACAGGATCCGATCGACTTCCTGCTTTGTATATGGGCGTTATTACACCTTGTTTCCACCTCGAAGGTACGATGTTCTCATCGAAACAGCGCTGAAAAAATGCAGCTAGTGGTTCGGCCAAGTGGATGGCAGCTACCTGTAATGTTTTCGGGTGAATGTTATCGGCCCCGGGAGAGCTGTGTGGACGCAAGGATAGCAGCTTTTGCAGCAACATTTCTGCAGTGAACGTGACGTTGGATAAAACGGGCGGTGGAATAACTAGTGGCGGAATATACGTCGAGGCTTGTACACCTTGGAAGATTGGGGAGTACTGGGCCCGTAATGCGTTGGCCGCCTCTTTCGCAGTATGTGTATACCCATTGGTCGTATTAAGTGGTGGGATTCCCAGTTTCACCTTGCGAAGTCCATTCACATGTTTGTAAAGAAGCTTTTTGTTCGAACAGAATCGTTTGGCTAGCTCCTGCTGATGCGTTCTCTTGTCTTCGCGAACCAAAAGCACACAGTAGTTGCGATGCGAAACGTATTCCGTCCAGTTTTCTGCACTGGGGTTGCTTTTATACGTGCGCCATGCCCGATCCCTTAGAGTCATGCATTTTCGCATCCGGCTTCGCAAAAATGATTTCGCTGTGAAGGGATGTTGGGAAACTTTTGGTGTTGAGGCTTCTATGACTATTGACGTGATGGTGTTCGCAAATGTCTCCCAGGCTAGTTCTGGGGTGCAGTTAGCTAGAAACGTCCAACTGGTATTCTCAACTAGAGCAGACAGAACGTGGTAATGGGTAACAGATTGCCTCGCTTCGAGCTCCGCAGCTGGATATTTGGCGTAGCAGATGTGATCGAACTGCAAAGTCACGTGATCGCTACAGCCCAAAGGACTGCACACCTTTAGTCCACCGACCATGAGCTCTTCGTTAGTGAGCACTAGATCTAATATCGATGAGTTGTTTCCTGTTCTGAACCTGGTTGGAACGGTGACGTGGTTATACAAGAAGGTGCTAGAGAGTAGCTCTTGCAAATATGCCTTGAACACCTCTGTCTCGGATGCTGGATTTTCCAAGTCATGGGTGTTGAAATCTCCTGCAACGAGGATGTGGCTGTACTTCTGATTAAGCACGGAGCGAAAAGCGGAGAGAAGTCTGTTGTCCCTTTCCGGAGTGGATTTCGGTGGTCGGTAAACCACAGAGAGAAGGCATACGTCGTTGCGTTCCAACCACAGTTTGCACCAAAGGACGTCGGTGACACAAGTCTGGGGATCGGCTATGAGCTCACAACGAAGGTTCGTTCGGAAATAAATGAGCACGCCACCGCCCTTGCCGGTTCTGTCGTTCCGGAGAAGTGACATACCCGGTATGGCAATCTCAGCGGCTGTGATTTCGCCGCTCAGCCAGGTTTCGGTGATCATTATGATGTCTCGAGGCTCCGAAGCCAAACGGTGACGGAGTTCTACCAACTTACTTATGAGGCCTTGTGCATTAGTATACATGCAGGACAGTGCTTTTGTAACCAAGAGTGAGCTAGCACAGGTTGTGGTAGAAATGGAGTTTGTGCCGACCGTTAACGGGTCGGCCATTAACCGTTTTTTTGTGGTGACGTTTGCCTTTGAGTTTGCTTTCGGTTAGACGACTGATCGCGGCCTTCCGGGCCCTGCTGGTCCCCCGTGTTCAGCCGTGTTTCGTGGGATATTGCGGTTGTTGATACATCCATGCCTTCACAAAGTTGCATGAGTGGATGGTTCAACAATTTGATCGCTCCCCGTAAGTCGTTGGTAATCCGTGGCAGCGTACCTGATGCCTTTAACCGAATTTCAGCTGGCAGCTTCATGCGGAATTTGGACCAGTTTTCCAAGGCGAGCGGTAACATAAACTCAGATTGAAGCACCACCTTCATAAGTCTGGGACCGTTCCCTTTGTAGTTGGGTAGTTGGGTCTTCTGGAGCTCTGATCACTCGCCAAACTTTGATGTCATCAATATAGAGCAAACAGTTTGACGCAATTTGTCGTACTAGATCGTTTATGAAGACTAAGAATAGACGGGGCCCAATACCGAACCCTGTGGCCCCCGCGTTCGAGGTGAATTAAGTCTGACATGGATTCACGTACTCTCATCTCCAGACGCCTGTGCGAGAGAAAATTGCATATCCATCCGAAGAAGACGTCCCTAATGCCAAATCCTTGAAATTTGGAGAGAGGGATACGATGGTCCAACCGGTCGAATGCCTTAGAGAAATCGAAGTAAGCCACATCAACTCCTGCACCAGCATCCACAGATCCGGTCCAGCTGTCTCGTGCTAACAACTGATTGGTTGTGTACGACCGATCCTGGTGGAAGCCGTGTTGCTGCTGAGGAATATAACCAAAGCCGTACAGACAAGACATGAGTGCGTTGGCAACGATAGCCTCCATAATTTTCGAAAGAACTGGCAGCAGAGTCACTAGTCGATAATTAGCTAAGTAGGAACGACTAACTCCTTTGTAAATGGGGGTTATTATTGCGTGTTTCCTCATTATATGAACATGCTGCTCGTCAAGGCAGTGCTGGACTAGATATTTCAAAGGCTCAGCCCGAATCGTAGTCCCCACAGCAAGCGTCTTTGGGCGGACGTCGTCAATTACTGGACAAGCGTGCAGGCGCATGGATAACAGCTTTCTCATCACGATGTCTACCGTAAAATTTATATGAGTGAGTCCTGGTGTGGGCACAATAGATTCCAAAGATTCAGGAGACCACAGGATGCAATGAAACGTTGGTGCATATTGTTGTTGTAGAACATTCGACGCTTCTTTAGCAGTGCGAGTTAGACCATCCGCTGTTTGTAAAGGGGGAAATCCACTTTTCATCTTGCGGAGGCTGTTCACGTGCTTGTACAGTAGATTAGGATTTGCAGTTAATTGCTCGGCTAAAGCATGTTGATAAGCTACTTTGTTCTCGCGCACTAATTGGGTACACTGGTTACGGTGGATGACATATACCTTCCAAGTATTTGGACTCGGATCGGTTTTGTGGGTATACCACGTAGCGTTACGCATCACCAAGAGTTTGCGTGTCCTACTCCGTATAAACGACGCCATGTTTCTGGAACTGCTAGTTTTGGTTTCTGATACTCCACTAACCAAGGCGTTAAACTTACTGACGAAACGTTCCCAGGCAACATCGGGTGTATTTTCTGTTAGGAAACTCCAGTCGATCACTTCAACGAGTCAGGCTAAGGTGTCGTAACTGGTTACGGTTCGCGTTGTTTGAGTTTGGTCCTCGGGATATACAGCATAGAAAGTGTACATGAAATGCAAAGTCGCATGATCACTGCGGTCTAGAGGAGTCTGGATTATCCCTCTCTCAACCATCTGTTCTTCATTAGTGAATAGTCGGTCCAATATGGATGGCCTGTTATTTCTCCCTGATTCTTGTGGGCGAAGTGACGTGGCCATAAAGCGGAAAATCTGAGACAAGGTCATGCAAGTCTGTTTTGAATTGCTCTCCTAGTGTGGCCCGAGATTCTAGAGCATGTAAGTTGAAATCGCCGGCGAGTAGAAGGTGACTGTACTTCCTGTTTATCAACTACCTCAATGCAGCCACCAAGCTGCAGTCCATATCAGGAGTAGACGATGGTGGTCAGTAAACAACAAACACTAGGCCAAGATAGTTCCTTCTCAGCCGGAAGCTGCACCAAATGGAGTAGGGTACATCGGTTTCCAAATTGTGTTTGAGTTCGCACTGCAGGTTGTTACGAAAGTAGAAGGCTACCTCACCAACTTTGTTGGTTCGATCATTCCGGACAAGAGACATACCTGTTAGCGCGATTTCGGCATCCGTTATCTCACAGCGCAACCACGTTTCCGTGACAGAGATGGGGTCCCAAGCTGCTGACGCGTGTTGAAGTCTTAATTCAGCTAATTTGATGGGTAGACCTTGGGCAATTGTGTACATGCATGTACGTTTCTTCAAGACGAAAAGTAGGTTGGGTAGAATGCATGAAGAAAGTGAGTTTACGCCGGCCGATATAAGGTCGGTAGCCAATCGACTTTTGCATGAGTTGCAGACTCTCGGGACCGATTTGGTATATATGCAAGTATCAGATGCCCGGGACCCCGGTGTTCGCTTGTGCTCAGCTACGTCCCTCCGGATGTTATAGCTACGGTTCTACAGGTCCTAGAATTGGTGTTCTCATTGAGAATTGCTCCTCCACTGAGTTGCCATTAGAAGGCGGTGGTTTTCCTGCTGCTTTCAGACGAATTTCTGTTGGCAACCTGCTACGGATTTCAGTCCAGTTCTCTAGAAGAGTTTGTGCCGTTAGTTCTGATCGCAACGCCAGTTTCAAAGGCCTGGGACCGCACCCCTTATAGTTTGGCAATAAGAGGATACTTGTCAACGAGGTGGCCACGACATTTCGAGAGAAAGAGCCTCACGGATGTAATGCCATTGCTCCCGATCGTGTGCCTGCGCATCGTCGGAAGATGAATCAGTAAGTTCAGGAACACTGTGAGCAGTCACAGTTTTCTTATCTTTAATTTTCCTCACTGTTAGTTGGATTAGCTGCAGGTTCTTCCCACGGGATTTCAGGTAGTATGTGCTCATAGATGTTGTGACTCCAAGGCCTAAACATCTAAGATCCTAACAGCAGGCACCGTGACGCAGAGGTCTGATGTCGAACCCATAACTGATCTTTTCTCGACCCGATAAAGCGTCAGACTAGCTATTGATGAACAAATCCGATTAACTCTCCAAAATGAAGGCAATTCACAGTGACAACAGAACATTTCGAAGGGATCAAGTGCAAAAAACCACTTCACAGGAGGAAACAAAAATCATCTACATACTGAAGGAATTGAAAGAGTCGAAGCATATAGATAACTCAATTTTCCCAAAACTGACACCATGTGGCTCACATCCTCCCCGACTGTATGGACTACCGAAAGTACACAAAACTCATGTTCCTATGACGCCAATAGTGGGCACGTCGTCTTCGCCTTATCACTCTGTCGCCAGATGGATAACAGAAGTGCTCCAACCGGTACGTAAGGAATTGTCGATGTATACAATGACAGACACATTCAAAATAGATAAACGAATTAGAAAGTTACACGTGCACGCTAAACTGATGCTGTCTTTTAACATGGAATCACTTTTTACTAACGTGCTCATGTTAGGGACTGTGAATTTCATTTGTGGCTGAGTGAAACATAAATGTTGGGATTCCGGTAAGGAAACTGAATGAATTAATCTTGCGGTGCACATTCAATATACAAATTTTGGTTAATGGGACGTATTAAAGACAGATCGATGGGATCGTAATGGGTTCTCCCCTAAGTCCATTATTGGCATACATTTTCCTTGCAAAACTCGAACGCACCTGAGTAGCAGCATTGCTTCTCAGCATTCTTACTATCGTTGTATGGATTGCGCGTTCATTGTCTGTGAAACTTCTATGGATTGCACCAGCCTACAAGACTATATCAATCGAGTACATCCTTCACCAACATTTACCACCGAGGTCGAACAAGGTGGCTGCCTGGCTTTCCAGACGTACTATTGTGCAGACGAGAGGGCGGAACAATCGAAACGAGTGTTTTCTGCAAAGCAACGTGGGTAGGTCAATACATCCATTTCCATATGGACAGTAAACAAACTTTTACAGCTTTATGCTGCTTCGGATTAAGAGTAACTTGGTCCTCAGTCTCGTAAACTGGGCCGAAAGAAACTGCTCGAAGGATACTCTTTTAGAAGAGTTGCAGCGCAGACGATCGACGCTTATCGAGATTGTCTACCCAGAGAACTTTATTAATGCCAATATGAGGCGAAACAGGGAGGCACCTACAGTCCTGATGGTGGAACGGAAACCTATTTTCCTGCAACTGCCTTCCAAAGGGTAACTAGTATCAGAGAACCTATCCCGCCGTCTCTCGTCCACACACAGGAATACCTTCCCACCAGCGAGGCTGCAAATCCGGTTCGCCAGTATCCCAATGGTGAAACTAAACCTCAAGGATAAGCTGCCTGTCCACACCAAATCAATGTGTGTCTACGCCTTCCCCTGTTCCTGTGGAGCAGGTTACGTTGGTCGTACGACAACACGCTTGTCCGAAAGGGTGAGGGAACATCATCCAGCCTGGCTCGGAAATGGACGCCAAAAAGCCACCAACTCTGCCATCGCCGCGCATCTTGCGGTTACGCCACCAAGTCGGCTGATTCATTCAAGGCAATCTATCAGGCCCCAGGAAATCGATCAAAGTATTTCCGTAAGCGGATATTAGACGCCGCAGAAGCCATCGCCATTCCGTTGTACGAACCAGCGCTGTTCACGTAGAAAAGGTTCACTCACGCGTTGACTCTACCTTGGCCAGGACGGAGTGCAGTTGACCTGTGCAAGCGTGAGACTACCATTGGAACCTGACCGACGGTTTGTCATATCGCACTAAAACCAATTTGGCTGACTGACGGCGCGTTGGGTCTGTACACAAAATTGTGCTTTTCATGTAATTGTAAAGGTCTGATGAGGAAGTACCAAAAACATATGTTGGCTTACACAGACTTTATGAAATGTATACTAATTTGCGTAACACTACATTACCATTA